ATATATATATATAAACACACACACACACACACACACACACACACACACACACACACACACACACACACACACACACACACACACACACACACACACACACATATATATATATGAATATACATATGAATATACATATGAATATATATACACACATTTGTGTGTGTGTGTGTGATTGTATGTATGTGATTGTATGAGTGTGAGTTTATTGGTAATAATTTCACGTTTTGACACCCTTAACTCCCTCTGCCTGCAGGAGACATTCACGGCCAGTATACAGACTTGCTACGTCTGTTTGAGTATGGTGGCTTCCCCCCTGAGTCCAACTACCTCTTCCTTGGGGACTACGTGGACCGTGGGAAGCAGTCACTCGAGACCATCTGCCTGCTTTTAGCCTACAAGATCAAGTACCCTGAGAACTTCTTCCTCCTTAGGGGCAACCACGAATGCGCCTCCATCAACAGAATCTACGGCTTCTTTGATGAGTGTAAGTAATAGATGTTCTAACACTTTTAACCCAATGACGCCGGCTGTACAAAACAAAAAAAAAACTCTATGCTCTAGCAAACAAAGGCAGCGCGCCGACTTTGAGCGCGTGAGTAATGGACATCAGCCCGAATCACTGGCTCGCCGCGCTTTGGCATGCCGCTGCGGCGTACAGCCGCATGCGAGCTTTCGAGTGGTTTGTTTGCATGCCGATTGGCGTCACCCGGCACCAAGGGGTTAAGTGTGCTTGCATACTTTCTCTCTCTCTCTCTGTCTCTCTGTCTCTCTGTCTATGTCTCTATCCCCGTCCTCACCTCTGTCTCCGTCTCTGTCTCCATCTCTGTTTCCGTTTCTGTGTCTGTGTCTCTGTGTATCTGTCTCTCTGTCTCTGTCTCTCTGTGTCTTTCTCTCTGTCTGTCCCTCTGTCTGTCTCTGTCTGTCTCTCTCTGTCTGAATGTCTCTGTCTGTCTCAGTCTGTCTGTCTCTGTCTGTCTATCTGTCTTTGTCTGTCTATCTGTCTCTGTCTGTCTGTCTCTGTCTGTCTGTCTGTCTCTGTCTGTCTGTCTCTGTCTATCTGTTTCTGTCTATCTGTCTGTCTGTCTCTGTCTGTCTGTCTGTCTGTCTGCCCCCCCCCCCTCTCTTTCTCTTTTTCTTTCTCTTTCTCTTTCTCTTTCTCTTTCTCTCTCTCTTTCTCTCTCTCTCTCTCTCTCTCTCTCTCTCTCTCTCTCTCTCTCTCTCTCTCTCTCTCTCTCTCTCTCTCTCTCTCTCTCTCTCTCTCTCTCTTTCTCTCTCTCTCTCTCAGGCAAAGTGAGATAAGGTGAGGTGAAGTGGGGTGCACATTTATTTTGAGAACATTGTTATTGTTTTGTACACACAAAAATATCAAAGATAATATCAGAAGCATGATATGATAACTTTGATGAGGAAACTAATGTTCCTTTCAAACCATTGCTCAACAGGTCGCAGGAGGTACGGCACCAAGCTCTGGAAGACTTTTACAGACTGCTTCAACTGCCTACCCATTGCTGCCATCATTGACGAGAAGATCTTCTGCTGCCACGGAGGGTTGAGTCCTGACCTACAGAGCATGGAACAGATCCGGCGGATAATGAGGCCCACTGATGTTCCTGACACTGGTATATAGTCCTCTTTTTCTTTTTTATACTGTATGTTTGTAGTCCCTTTCTATCCTGTTGATGTGAGATAGTTTACAGAGGCTGGTAGACCACATTCTGAAACAGGGATTTTTTTGATTTCAGGAAGATTATTATTTAAACTTTCCTAATTTCTGTATCATTGTGTGACAGATATAACATTGTTTATGTAGAAGGTCTCTTTCTATGATTAACATAGGCTTATGTCATGATCTGAGTGTATAAGAGCTAGTGTAGGTGCCTTCTTTTGAAGAACAAATCAAAAGCAGAAGTAGATTTTCCAACAAAGGTATTTATATACATATGATTCCTTTGAATGGCACTAACAGTACGTCTGTTTTAAGATTAAAAAGTACTTTGCCAAAACTTATAATTTATATATCAATGCTAAACTCTGTAAGAATACAGTGGTTAATCTTTGCATTGATGATTATATTTTAAGCCATTCTCCTCTTTGATCTACAAGCATATAGACAATCATGGTTTATGAATCTTTATATTGATATTAATAATTTATGAATCTTGAAATTCATAATATCAATATCTTTTAGTTTTTGTTTCAGGAGCTTAATTCTCCAGAAGAGACAGTGTATCTTTCACAGTTGCATATGAAATACATACCTCACAGAAGAGCTCCAAGTTAAAAAAAAATTGTGATAGTTAGCCATTTTGTACAAGTAAAGATACATATTTAATCATATAAAACATTATAGTAGGAAATGATGCTATGATTGAAAGATTGCATTTTGGGTAGGAGGAATAGGGAAGAGGAAAGCAAGACAGTTTTCTCTGCATGAAATATAGCATCCGCACCAGAATTATTCACAACTACGAGGAGACGAGAAACACTAATGTAAGAATGGCCAAGGGAGAGGAGGGACTGCAAGGAGATTAGAGTATGGGGAAAAGGGAGATAGGTGTGGGTGGAGGAAACTTCCCAGATAGTACCATGGTTGTCAGTCAGCACTACGCTCATCTCATTCAGAGTGAAATAGATGTGGGAAAACAGGTCCCCACTCTTTGACATCTCAGGCAAGATGATACCACAGTTGGGGCAAATAGCACTGAATTTAGTGTATGTGTAAAGCTATAGTGATGGTGAATAAGACTTAATGTTTAATAAATAATGTTGCCTCTCAAGTTTCTATTATTTATATTCAAAGGTAGACTATTTATATATGAATCCTGAAATTAGTATCACTAATCTTTCCATTTGTATTAATTCCTAATTTTGTCTCTCAGGTCTCCTCTGTGACTTGCTGTGGTCAGATCCTGACAAAGATGTTTCAGGCTGGGGTGAGAATGACCGTGGTGTCTCCTTCACTTTCGGTGCAGATGTCGTCAGTAAATTCTTGAACCGCCACGATTTAGACTTAATATGCAGAGCACATCAGGTAATCAATGCTTTTATGTTATGGTTTTATTTTTCATGTTATTATTTCATATACATCATTGGACTTATTGTATTGTTTTTCATGTAGGACTAAGATAAAAAGAAAGCAACATTTAAAACAGATTTACAAAACAAAGATTACAATATTTACAAAAAAAATTGCATCATCAAGAGTATCATTATTTCCTTACAGGTTGTTGAAGATGGTTATGAATTCTTTGCCAAGAGACAGTTAGTCACTCTGTTCTCAGCTCCAAATTACTGTGGAGAGTTTGACAATGCAGGAGGAATGATGTCTGTGGATGAAACCCTCCTGTGCTCCTTCCAGGTAAGCTGGCCTATTTTGTATCACCTTTTTTTTGTTCTGAGTAAATGGTAGGAAGAATGTAAGTGAGAATGAGTTAGATTTGAAATTGTGAGAAAAGATGAGAGATGAAATTTTGAGGAGTTCGGGAAAGATATTCCTGAAGGGAAGAGGGAGAATCACGAAGGAATGAGGATCAGGGAGAAGTGATAAGGGGGATGAGAAAGTTTGAAGTAGTGAGAAAGGATGAAGGGAAATGGTGAGAGAAAGGGGAAAGGCATTGAGGAGAGGGGAAAATTATGAGGGATTGAGGATTGAAGAGAAATGGCGATGAAAAACGAGAGAGAGAGAGAGAGAGGGGAAAGGTGTTGTGATGAGGGAAAACTTTGAGGAACTGAGGAGAAGTAATGAAAGGAGACTGCCCCTAGTTTATTTGAAAGAGTAAGAAAGGAGGTAGACATTGTGAAGGGAAAGAAGGGGAAGAAAGGGAAAATTGTTAGGATTTTTTTTAATGGTGGGGAAGAATGAAAAGAATTAAGACGGTATATGTTGTTGAAGGGGGAAGGGTGACAGATTAACCCCTATCTGTCCACTTTAATTTTTCATTGTGAATTTTGTTAACACAAAGTGCTCAGTCACCAAGGAGTTTGTTTGTCAGCCTATGTTACCTAACCTGATTTCCCCTTTCCATAAGTTATGGGAAATTTTTTTTTTTTCTAATTCTATTAATATCGATGCTGTTGTAATTATTATTAGCATTACTATTGTTAACAATACTAATAGTAATGAAAAATGCCTATCTTGCTAAGGGCATTTGATCCAAAAAAGATGACATTGTTCAATAACTGTTATTTTTTTATTATTATTTTTATTTTTTGTGCATGTTGATGAGTATAGAATTGCACTCATTTTTGTGTATGAATTTTGCTGTACTACTGGAAAGGAAGATACAGAATATAAAGGAATGGTCTGTGGATGGCAATTCCAGTATTAGATTTACTGTGATTACATATTCACAGTATATATATAACATATCAGTTCAATCTTGGGAATTTTAGATGAACAGACTACATCTGACTTATTTTTCTGAAATTAAAAAATCTGCTGAAAAAGATGATTTTGAAATTACAAATCTCTTTCCGATGGAAGTGATTGACTTCTTATCAGTATTGTCATCTTGATTTCCCTTTTTATTTTTTTACATGCATACTCTTTACTCATTACACATACTGGCAAATGTATCAGCTACAGATTATTACCAGCATCTCAATGCTAAACACGTTTCATATGAAGATATATCCAAAATGTACATTCAGAAAGAAAAATTGCACAAGATATTTCATTATTGGTCTTTGGTTTTCATTTTTCTTTATATCAGGCTAAAAGTGCTCTTTGGACATTCAGAACTCTTTATTTTTAAGTCATTATCAAATGCTGTATGTTTATTTGCAAGAAGCAAAAGCCCCTGTAGGTGTACCGAGTACAAAATCCTGACATCAGCAATTCACCCCTTGTCAAGGGGGTGCAGGGGAGTGAGGCGAGGAGGTGAGATGTAAAATGATTAGGAAATAGGATAGTTAAAGGGTAAGTCCTTCCTTCTGTTTTTTTAAAGGATGTAATTTTACTGGGGGGAGCAGAGACACTAGGGATCACCCCTAGTATTTATTCTTAACCCAGTGCCGACGCATGACATGTACATACATGCCATGCTGACTGTGAGTTTACTTTATTAATAGTTTTTACACATAGACGGTTACACTTATACCAAGTCACCAAAGAGCCAGTTACGAGTACTGCCTGTCTTGCCATTTACCCTTTTCCTTGATTTAGGAAAATATTTTACGTTATCTTATTTTGCTGTTTCTGATGTTTAAAACCTTATAGTAATTATAACGTCTGTAATAAAAATAATACCATCGATATACATAGCATTAGTAAAAAATATGCTTTTCCCGCCAATTCAAGGAAAGATGAGATCAGGTAAGGTCACAAGGTCCACTAATTGACTCCTTTGTGACTAAGCACTAGCAGAGCCATCAATGTGCAGAGACATCTCAATGAGCACATTTTCCCCGGCGGCATTGGGTTAACACAACAATTATGGGTGTCACCAATGAGATAGCCAGAAAAGGGACAGTAGTGGGTGTCTTATTTGTGAGACACTTGTGTTCTTGGCTTAGTCTCAGATTAGGTCACCCATTATGTGTGTCTCGCACACATAATGGGTCGCTTGCAGGCATACGCTTCTATAGCTAGCTACCACTAAGAAATTTGGGTGTTTTTCGTCATGGATGAGTGAGGTGTAGTTACACAAGCATTTCATCAGTGACAGATTTCTGATAATGTGTGTACTCAAGAGGATGTGGATCATCATATGTTGTGGATTCTGATGTGCATCTGCTGGTTCAAGATGCACAGACTGTATTGTTTGAAAGAAGTTGCACTTGCAATGTATAATCCATTTTCTGACTGAAAATGATAAATAATGTATATTAATTACACAGAACTATTAATTTTGTATTTTCATTAAAAATATTAGAGCCATTTATCATGTGAATTATCTTTCCACAATATTTAATCATGGTTGTGACCATGTAGTGTATATCTACAGTGCGGTTATGACATTATCACTGCATATAAGATATTTACATCAGCCGAGACCTAACTCTGCCTATCCTCACTTGCTCTGCCTTTTTCAAATATAATTGTTGGGAAGCTAATGCTGATTGGGGAGCATAGCTGTATCCATCCTTCGTTTCCCCTTACGAGGGTTCCTCATGACAAGCCGCCATTCAAGGAATTTGGCCCATCTCTTGCTCCTTGTGAAAGGTCTCAATAATCTGAACAAGCCACAACTTTATAGTTCGTCCCACAGGCATAGTTTGTCCTCCACCCATGGTTGTTTTGAACAGAGACAACTTGGTGTTCAGGATGGGAGGTGAGCCAGATGCCCACATACCCTGGGTTGCCAGTTCTGTATTGTACAAATAATGGGTCTTGTGCCAGTCTTGCGGTGTAATCCTTGGTTGGACACATGGTCCTGCCAGCTTTACCACAGGATCTGGAGCCGGGACCTGTTACAAAAGGCATCAAGATTCCAAGGCACAGGATAGTGTCAGGTTTCATTACCATAGAGTAAAACTGCCAGTATCAGGGACTTGTACACACACAGCTTGGTCCTTCTGCATAGGTACCTGCATCTCCAAATACTCTTGTCAAGAGAGCTCACGACCCCTGCTGCCAGGCCAGTCTGTCTACTGGTTTGACAGCCCAGTCTTGAACTTCACTACCAAGGTATGTAAAGCCCTTCTTGACTTCAATGTCCTTGCTGCAAGCACATACCAACTGAACAGGTTCTCCTAGCAGGCCACCAAAGTCCTGGATCTTGGGCTAGACCCAGGGGCTTTGCTTCATTGCTAAATGCATCTATAGCCACCACCAGGGTTTCCAGAGACTCGGATAGTGTAGCAACATAATCAGCAAAGTCTAGTTCTTATTGGCCAGAGTTACTCCACAATGACTTTAGACAGTAGCTCTGCCCAGTATCCAGTCCATGGATAAGTACTGGTGCAAGAACATAGCCTTGCCGCACTCCTGAACTAGCGGGAAGAAGCATGACAGGCCCCCACCACACTTTACAGCACTTTCAGTACCAGTATACAAGCTTGCTGTTAATCCAATAATCCTTGTTGGGAATCCTCTCAGTCTCAGGATCTCTCATAGTGATTCATGATGCACTGTATCGAAGGCCTTATTGAGGTCGATGTAAGCTGCAAGCAGCCCATGCCTGAACTCACAACTTCACTGTACAATGACTCGAAGCTCCGGCCTCTGGTGCCTCAGTAGGTGGTTTTCATGTATCCCAGAAGGATGTGTGCAAGAAGCTTACTTGGTATACTGAGCAGTGTAATGCCTCAGTGATTGCTGCAGTCCCATCAATCCCCTCTACTGTTCCAGAGAGGGATGACCATGCCCCATAATAGGTCAGGGAGTATGGTACCAGTCTGCCAGATGGCCGATAGAACGGCATGCAAACCCCGTGCCATAGGTTCACCACCAGCCTTAACTATTTTATAAGGGATGCTTAGAGATCGCTTTCCTAACTTCATTTAAGTAGATAGGTTCTCACTGATGGATGGGTCTGGCACAGGGTTCTCGACACTACCCACATCCATGTTAGTGGTTGGTGGATCAATCTGATACAACTGCTTTAAATACTCAGCCCAATGCTACCAAACCCCAATAGGATCTGAGATGATCTGGCCACTAAATGAGCAGATTGCAGTTGCCTGTAAGGAGGGCTTGGAGTTTAGTTTTCTTAGGGCTTGGAAGGCAGGATAAAGGTCATTTACTAAGAAAGAGCCTTTGACCTCATGTGCAGGATTCCTGATAAAATGTTCCTTGTCCCATATCAGCAGTGATTGAGTCCTTTGCACCAGTGAAAAAATGCAAATCACGATCCTGTCAATCAATCTGTGTGATAAACATCTGTGCCTTCCAGTGTCTCCTGCAAGATGAAATTCTCATTGCTCTTGGACAGTTGGCAATTGATTCCTTAGCTGCATTGAGCGTTTCACGTTTGAAGGTGTCCCATCAGATTGTTGAGTGCTGACCAGAGATAGCCTCAGCATACTCCTGGGCACTCCCCCTCCCTCAACCTATTCACATCATTGGATTATTGGGTAGCCATGACCAATCTACAATCTCGGCACTCTGATATACTCTGTATTTCTAGAAGATCCTCCAGTGTATGCTAACAAGTGTCTTGACTGCATTACCCACATTGCTGTACCATGATCAGTGATGTGGGTCAGAGTGCTGGTATCAAGAGCCAGAAATCCTCAATTTCTGGGACTGTGCAAAGTCCCGGAAAAGGAGGCTATTCTTGCTGCCCGCTTCAGTTCCTGAACCATGAGGAGCGAAGACATCTCATAACCAGCTCGATCACAGCCAGATACCACATTGAAGTCACCTAGAACAATGTGAACATCTTGCTTCTCTTTCATATCAAGATTACAAACATCAGGAGTGTGCACAGCACTAAGAGAAATGAAGCCAAACACAAGGCCTTGGCAAGTAACTGGGTGGATGCCACTTCTGCCACCCCAGCCAACATTGTCCTATGCAGCTGGCTGGCTGCAGGTCCCATAATCTGCCTGTAGGGGTCCCATGGGCTTTGCCCCACAAGCCTCACACCAGGTTGGTGGACACTAGGATGTGGATGGAATGGGTAATTCCTTCTCCCAGTTCAAGTCCCAGTAGTCACCAACCCAGTGGGCCCCACAGCCTGCCTTACTTGCTGGGTGGGACTCCCCCCAGCACCATAATCTATGTGGTTCACTGCCATTTGGGTTTTCTTGTGGAGGCAGACTGGCAAGACCCACTTCTCCACAGCCACCCATTAACCTGAGGAGGCAGGAGTTAGTATAAAGCCAGGGTGTGTCCACACTCCAGTGGCCATGACTTCACACCGTTAGTTCTTCCTACTCCAAAAACCTTCACAGTTCAGTCTAAGACCACAAAGTACATAGTTTCCATGGGTGGAAATGAGGAGGATTACACACATGTGCTCCCTTTTTTGCACCAAGCTAGCCAGCAGCAGCAGCTGCAAGTGAGAAGGCATGCAAATCACTTAACACTATCTAAGCTGCCACACCAATGCTTCACATCACCCTAAGCATGCACCCATTTTTCAAATATACAAATGTATAAAATAGAAATCATAAACATGAATATAATATTTAATGTATATTTTATGTATGAAAATATAATTTAGAGCAAGCCTTATTCAGCAGCAATACCATCAACACATGGCAAAAAAGTACATTGTGTGACCAGCATGCATATAGATTAGATGTATCCTCCCTGCCTCATGCAATATTTTCTTGTATTAATTTCCCAAGGATGCTGCTGGTTTCCTTGAATGTTCTCTTTTTCCATGGCATTGTTTTTTTTTTTAACTGATCGTCAGATTCCATGCTCCTGCCTTATTCTAGCAGTGAGAAAGATTGCAATTGATGATGCACTGGGCTGTCTACAGAGAAGGATAACAATATGACGATAGTAATAGAAGCGTTCTTACTTCTCTTTTGGGTGGGGTAAGAAAAAAAAAAGAGAAGAATAGATAACAATGATGTATATTGGGAAAATCTCTTTCAGTTGTTGCCAGAACTTCTGTTTTGTTTCCTCAGTCACATCAAGAAGAAACCCTACATAGGTCTTGAAGAAAGAAATTGGACTATTAACCCATTGCCGCCGGGGTTGGCATGTACGTACATGCCATGCCCACTGTGAGTCGACTTGTTTGATTGTTTTTACGCATAGATGGCTACACTTGTACTAAGTATCCAATGCGCCAATTACGAGTACTGCCTGTCTCGCCCGTTCACCCTTTTCATCGATTTACGAAAATATTTAACGTTATCCTAACTTGCTGTTAAAAATAACACTATCTATATTTATAGCACTAGTAAGAATACGTTTTTTCCCGCCAATTCAAGGAAAGGTGAAATCAGGACTAGCAGAGCCATCTATGGACAGAGATATTTCACAAAAATATAAAAAATGAGTACGGCATTTCCCCCATTTTTTGTTCATTTTCCCTGGCGGTAATGGGTTAAGGAGGAAGAGAAAAGAAATAGTGAGGGATGGAAAAAGGAAAGAGAAAAGAAAAAAGAAGAGAATAAAATATTAAAGTAAAGTTGTTGTTTTTTCATCTGTAAAGTGAACTGTGTAGGAAGTGTATCATATTCCTTGGTTAACTGTTTTAAATACTTGTTCTTTTGTTTATCTGTGTGTGTGTGTGTGTGTGTGTGTGTGTGTGTGTGTGTGTGTGTGTGTGTGTGTGTGTGTGTGTGTGTGTGTGTGTGTGTGTGTGTTTGTGTGTGTGTGTGTGTGTGTGTGTGTGTGTGTGTCTGTGTGTCTGTGTGTCTGTGTCTGTGTGTCTGTGAGAAAGAGATATTTTTTTTATGGAAATTTATATTTTAAGATAGAAGTTCTGTCTAAAAGGATATAGCATGTATGTCCAATGAGAGAGAGAGAGAGAAAAAAAAAAATCTCATTCACATTTTGCCACAGATTTTGAAGCCGTCGGAGAAGAAAGCCAAGTACCAGTACAGCGGCCTCACTCAGAACCGTCCCAACCCCCCCAACCGCCAACAGCGACCTCAGCAGCAGAGAAAATAAGCCAGGCAGGCAACAGCACTATTCAAACAAAGGAAGAAGGATCGGAGTGTGGGGTAACCCTCAATGGTGGCATTTTAAAGAGAGGCTTCGCACACATCTACCATCATTTGGCTCTCCTGGAATGTTATTATATATATCTATATTTTTTTTTCCTATTTCTGCATGATGTCAAGTGGTGGTGAGGATGATGAAAACAACAATAAGATGTCAATAAAAGTGATTGTTTCCTTTAAGGAACCTTGCAGACAGGAAGCCATTAGATACTGTTGGTAGTTAAGGCGTGAGAACCAAGGCGAGTGGAGTACACAGAGAGCGAATGACATCATAGCAGGGTAGGAGGAGGGCGGGAAATGAGGGCCTTGCTTGCTTTTTTGCGCATCGAAGCCTCGCCTTGTGATTTTTTTTTTTTTTTTTTTTTTCTTGAATGTCTTTTCAGCTTTGTATTGATGGTTTCTTTCCATCAGATTTTTGCCTTTTGGTGTTTTTTTTTTTTTTCTTCTTCTTCCACTCTGAACTTTTTTTTTTTTCTTTTAAAAATCTGATGAGGAACTTCATTTGGCTTTCTTACTATATAAAAGCTTAATGGAAGCAAACCTTCATATCCTGCCTTTCAGTCATATGCAGACACTCAAGCAAATACGCATATAAGAATTTAGCTGTGTCATTGTTAAACATTCTGATGAAATGTACAATACAATGTGTGCTGTCTTTTTATATGTCTGTGTTGCAAGAAATTTAATGTTTTTGCCAAAAACATACTGTTGTTGGCATATAGAAAATGTATTTCTACTTTCTTTTATAACTGATATTACATTACCATGGCCTAAAAAGAGGTAACTAGTCATCGTCACCAGAATGCCAGAAAAGGCTAAAAAGTTATAAATGAAAAAGAAACAAACAACTTGTCACTTAAGAGTTATATTTAATCTAAGTCAAAAAAACAAAAAATCCCATAGCATTTAACTTTATTTATTTATAATTTTTATTTTTCCTTTCTGAAGACCAGGGATAGATTTTGAAAGAGAGAGAGAGAAAGAGAGAGAAAGAGAAAACAAAACAAAAAAAAACAAAAACAGGGACTATCTCTTAGCCATGATCACAAAGTATATGGAAATATTCACTCCGGATAGAAACACTGTCTTCCTCCTCTGTAAGTACCTTTAATGGAATGTTTTCGGTCGCAAAGTGAGTACTGGAGCACACGTCAGTCACCCAGAATCATGGAGTGAATTGACACAGATATGCTAGTCTGTTTATGTATTTTTTTTTTTTTTCCATTATTACGATTAATGTTTTGTTGTTTATGCTATGTCTCATCATTTTGGGTTGCAAATGTGATGCATTGCCTTATTCTAGCAGTGAGAAAGATTGCAATTGATGATGCACCGGGCTGTATACAGAGAAGGATAACAATATGACGATAGTAATAGAAGCGTTCTTACTTCTCTTTTGGGTGGGGTAAGAAAAAAAAAAAGAGAAAAATAGATAACAATGATGTATATTGGGAAAATCTCTTTCAGTTGTTGCCAGAACTTCTGTTTTGTTTATCCATGAACTTGGCAAGATGCATTGACAGAGCACATTACAGTCGTTTTACAAATTGCAATTGATGATGCACCGGGCTGTCTACAGAGAAGGATAACAATATGACGATAGTAATAGAAGCGTTCTTACTTCTCTTTTGGGTGGGGTAAGAAAAAAAAAAGAGAAAAATAGATAACAATGATGCATATTGGGAAAATCTCTTTCAGTTGTTGCCAGAACTTCTGTTTTGTTTATCCATGAACTTGGCAAGATGCATTGACAGAGCACATTACAGTCGTTTTACAAACAGTCATGGCGACATCCAGCCAAGTCATTGCAGATGTTGAGGTATCAATTGTTGCAATACATTGGCAGTATTTTTTCATACATGAAGTTTTGAACTTGTGGGAAATTTATTTTGATACAGGTTAGAGGTAATAATGATAAAAAACTTAAG